TTCCTTGAAGCCATAGGTTCCTTGAAGTGTGGGAAGTGATTACCGGCAAATACAACTTTCACAGAAGACTCAAGAGTTTTACTTTCAAGTGACAGACATCTAAACACATGCTTCCAGATAGTTTGGCCTGCCAACCCACAACAAAATATTCAATAAAATTCCTTTATATTTCCAAAATTTTAAAGACCTAACTCTTAGTAGTTATAACATATTCTGATCTAATATGAATATTAAACCCTTAAAAACCTACTAAGATTATCCCTATTTGCTTAATAAACACACGAATTGATTTTTCAAGTTTCAGTATAAGAAGCATGACAAATAAATTCCCTTATTACACAATCGGAAATGGCCAAAATGTTCAATCCCAAAGCAAAACTTAAATCACCATCATGTAAGATTGAAGTCCCCAAATGAATATTAATTTACAAACTTCCCATTTTCTGATAGCTCTTATCTCAAAATGCTGGCTTTCAAATAAATGCTGGTATAGCCATCACTAAAACAGTTTTGGATATTTTTGTGTTTAGGATATTAGATCTCTTCTGTTCACATGACTGGCATTTCCTGGTGTCTTTGTTGCCCAGGGATTTAATCATTTAAAGACATTTAAAAATGTTTTGTAGAAGTTAACATTCTGACTTTAAATGTTTTTTTCACATTTTTGAATTTATTCATTGTATATATGTGTGTGTGTGTGTGTGTGTGTTCCATGGAATGCATCTGATGGCCAGAAGGTAAGTTGCATGTGGTCAGAGGATAAGTCTAAGGACATGGTGCTCTCCCTTCACTATGTGGGGCCCTGGGGATTGAACTGACATCATCCAGTTTGGTGACAGGTGCCATCTCTATTGCTCAATACTCTATTTTTGTCAATGACAAGTGGATACTAAGCAAACACGGATCATGGAACCAAGCACCCAGGAAAAGCCATGGAAAGAGAAAATGGAGAGATTGTAGGTAAACACTGACACAGACACATACAGGATCCAAAGGCTGTCTGAACTCACATGACCCGGCAGCTGCTGGGGGAGCTAATGTTTGAGATGTGCCTGTGTTTCTGAAAACACAGGCACACTGCTGTGATGGGGGAGCCATCCTGAGAAGGCTTTGAGAGAAAAGTTCACACCATTTCATTCCTTAAAGCTCACAGAAAGCAGCCCCATCCTGTCCCATGCTGTCCCATCCTTGTGGCCCAGTGTGGCAAGCTCATTGAAGAACATATCCTGGAAGACTGGAAGCAGCTGGTAGCTCAGGTGCAGGGAACTCCAAGACCCCAGGGGAGTGTGCTGTCCTGTTCTTTGGGTGAACTTTCTGGAGGAGCCTGGGATCCAGATACACAGAGGAGTTCAGTGCCAACTTGTCCTGGGGTTTGCTGAAACAGTCTGTTCCAGTGATCTCCTTTTGAGGGAACATTTGGGTTCCTTAGAATACTGAGCAGGGAAGGAGAGCTATTCCAGTCAACTCTTATTCCAAGCTATTCCCACTGACTCACTGAAAAGCAGCACATACAAGAGAGGGTCCGAGTATCCTCAGTCTTTGCTCTCTACAAGGGGTGCTTTGTCCGAGAAGATAACCAAGCTCAGGGAGGAGAGGAGAGTACCCATTTTTGCATGTGCAACCACTCTGGCAATAACATTTAGTCCCTTTGATTTATTTTGGCATATGTATTTACACACACATACACACACACAAATTTGTTGTTGACTTGTGTGTGTGTGTGTGACATTTTTTGTTTTTTTTTTACTTTTTCTTTTTATTCTCTTTAGATGGTACTTTGTTGACATCTTTATTTTTTATTTTTGAGATTATGATATAATTGCATCATTCCCAAAAAGGAACAGAAAGATAAGCATTACATTCTTTTTGTCATTGTAGAATACAGAAACAAACAAACCAAAAGATGAGAAGTCAGAAGGATTATTAGGAAAAAAGGGAGGCATGTTGAAAGATGGCTCCGGGGATAAATAAGAAAGATTGTTGTACAAGTCTGAGGGTCTGAGTTCAAATCCCCGGCTGCTACCTAAAATGTTAGGCATGGCTTTGTGCACCTGGACGAGTGCACTCTCAGGAGTGGAGGCATGAGATTTCATAACACAAACTTGCTGGCTTTAGCCAGACTCCAGGCTCAGCAAGAGATCCCGTCTCAGGGATCACGATGGAGAGAGTGATAGAACTGAAGTTCTAATCTCCTCCTCTGGCTTTCATGGATACCTACACCCACCCACATGTGCACACATATCACACACACACAAGGCCCATGGTTAAGAGGGGACAAGGATGATCAGGGCATATTGTATGCACACGTGGAAGTGTTACAATGAGACCTGGTGTTTTTGTGTAGTTTATGTATGGTAACAAGAGGATACATGAGTAATGAACGAGGAAATAAAGCTAATTACTTTTTAGGTTTTGTTGTCAATAAGTGAATAAAAATGTAATTGACAGTGAAAGTGTAAGGCCCTAAGAGAAGCTCTGTGACTTCAGCATGACCATTGCAACTCTGTAGAAGTTCACTGAGATGTATGGATTTGGGAACAGCCAAGTGCTTAAATCAGCTTCATTAATCTAGCTGTGTGATGTTTTCATTTGTGAGTTAATTAGAGTAGAGTGATTTTATTTTAAAAAACATAATAGCCAGGCACAGTGGCACATGCCTGTAATCTTAGGACTCAGGAAATAGAAGCAGGAGGGCTGCAATTTGTAGGGAGTCTGGGCAACAGCTTAGTGTCCACTGAGGCAGAGCATCAATCAATGCCTGTCTCAAAAACTCAAGTACAATTTTTTAAGTCAGAAAGTAAAACAAAACAAAACAAACAAATAAAAACTAATAAATCAGAAAGGGTAAATTATCCCACAGTAGACAGTTTAGAATACCAGCAGCCTCATTTAGTCTAGCATTGGAAATGGAGTAATGGCCCAGCAGTTAAAAGAATTTGATTCTCTTCCAGGAGCAGAGGTTCTGTTCCCAGCACCTACATGGTGGCTCACAACCCCTGTGACTCCAGTTCAAGGAGATCTGATACTTACTTCTGGCCTCCTCTGGCACTAAAAACATGAAAGTGCACTTGGCTAAATGTGGGCAAGACATTCATAGACACGAACTATAATAATAATAAAAAAAACTTAAACCATCAGTATGTTAACCTTCAAACAAGGGAGGATTTAAAAACAAAAATTCACCTAACCTAGGCAACAATTTTCCCTCTGATGTGCATAGAAACGACAATTCTGACTTCAGTGGTGGCCTCCAAGTCTCCACTCCCAGGATGGTAGTTCAGACACAGATGTCTCTTTGCAATTGGAACTTGCTTCTTCGAGCTTTCATGTGCTACATCTGCCCAAGCCCCACCCATTTTCACAGACCAGGCCAAACAAAGGTAACCAGAAAGATTGTCTTTATCATTGCAGACACCAAAATCTGCTGAAAGCAGACTGATGTTTGGCATCTAGAAGTTTCTACTTCCTTGTTTTAAAAATTAGAGCCCAATTTGGTTGTACCAATCAATTATTAGAATGGGCAACTTCTAGACACAAGATAGACAGTTCCCTATTTGTTAACTACTGAACCACTACGCAGTGAGAACTGCCAGGATGAGCCCAAGCTATTATTACAGGGCCTGATGTTGGGTGTGATCCATCCTCTGCACATATCACTGTGTATAGGGCACAAGGGAACCCTGATCCTCATCAACCACATTCACTGAGCTAATGTCTTAACCAAAAACCAAAAACCAAAGTAGGTGTGGTGACTCTCTGAATGCCTCCAGAAAACCATTTAACCAATTGTGATATACATACATATATATATGTGTGTATATGTATGTATGTATAAATATACACATGCATATACATACACATATAAAAATATACATATTTTTTTCTTTGGGGGCTGCTGCTTCACTGTTATGCAAATGTGCATACACTATGTTCTCAAATTATGAAGAATGATATCGTCAAAATAATTATGTAAACCAAATTAAGAATTCTTAAGACTTTCCTTAAGGAAATCTATTTACTACCTGACTCAGGGCAATATATAGGTATGTATATATATAAATGGATGTATAGATATGCAATTTATGCTTGCTCTCTTTATATATAGGCATATATAACTATATGTGTGTGTGTGTGTGTGTGTGTGTGTGTGTGTTTAAGGGTATACACATGTGTGTGCATATACATCTGCATGCATGTGTGTTTGAAATCAAAGATAATTTTTATAAAATGAACAAGGCTACAAGTATCCTCTAATGTGATAAGGAATTATGCTGACCCCTGGGTTAGTGCTCAGAGGGGAGCACCTCCTGGCGAATGGCGCACACTCTACCTCTGGTTTGAAAAGCACGAGTGTGTTAGGTAGCACCGAGGCACCCAAAGCCCCGAAGAAACAAAAAGCTGCTCTGTCTCCATTCCAGACACTGTAAATGCCAGACATCTCCCAGCCACCTCAGCCTCTGATGGCCTCTGCGTGTCTTCCAAACTGTGGTTGACAAGTACAGTGATGATCTAACACCTTCCGAATGCCTCAAGTGCAAAGTTCACTAGTTCTAAGGTCACTGATTTAATGCAACAGCCAAGTTTCATTCACATCATCAGCCACTATCTGAGAAAGACAGCTGTAGAGACCAAGCGAGGATTTAAATGCCACCATAACTAGTGAGATCAGTGCTGGACTCCAAAGGAGTTAGCGTCTAAACATAAAATGTGGCAGCCAAATAAAACAGAAACTCCCTGGACATGTGATTAGTGCCCATGGCATCATTACTGTTCAGCTCTGGGGCTGAGATTTTTACAGCAGTATGAGGGGGAGACGCCACTAACGCACCAGGAGATACAGCGTGAGGTCATTGATATACCAGCCTTCCTTTGCTGTCATTGACATGTACCCGGGATTTAGATACCGCTTGGGCTTCTCTGGGTAGATGCCATTTAAAGGGGAGACAGGATGACAGAGCCCCGTGTTTAGCCACATGTTAAATATTTTTTATTTTACTCACCTGCACACTGAGATGAATCCATTTCTTCATAAGAATTCTCCCTGGTGTCATTACTTTTATTGGAGGCTGCAAACCATTTACTGTGCGATAATAAAACATGGTCCCTTTCTCAGATATTGTAACTTTGAACACAATCTGCCCATCCACTGTCTTTTCCATCACACACCTAAGGAAGCAACCAGAAAAGACAAAAAAAGGTCAGCATCCAACCAAAACGACAGGCAGGGTATTGCCGTGGTCATGTGGCCACAACCCCGACTCAAAGTGTACTTTCAATAAGTGCCAGAACCTTGCTACACCCTAGAAAGCTTTATTCCAACAGAATTTATTTTATTTCAATAAAAATAAAATTCTTATTTACAATATATTCCCGAGAGCCTCAACACCCTTCATTAGAGATTCATGATGGAATGTGAAGGCATAGCATCCTACTGGAAAACTAACATTTAGGCTACTGGCTCATTAGTTCCCTGGCTATCCCTTTTATAGGAAGTGGTAGGACATACCCCATCCCACATGGGTTTTGAGTTACCAGGGCAAATCTTTCTTCTTTTAATGTTAAGTGAATCTGGAATCCATGGAAGGCTCTACATTATTAACCCTGGAGTCAGACTTGCTCTATTTGATTCCTATGATGAAACAGAAAATGAACAACTACCGCCTCTTCTTTCTTCATCTTACACTGGCCAGAAGTCAAAAACAGTATGTACAAGAGGACTGCTTGCCTTTTCCATGGCCAGCAGGCCAGCTCAGACACTGAGATCATAGAATGGTCTTGGACGGAAACCTTCTAAAATCAAGTAGCACCATGATGACATAGGACAGCTTTTAGGAAGTCTCTAGGGCTTAAGACAGACTTTACTTCAGAGAATGAATGGGCTTTGCTACCTAGCCCAAGTTGATTTTGATCTTGCAGTCTCTCTGTCCGAGTTTCCTCAGTGCTGAAGTGATGGGTGTATGCCACCATTCTGGGCTGGAATTTTTTTTAAAAGGTTACTTCTCTCATAATCTCCTGGTATGAATTTCGGGGTCTGAGACTCTTTCCTTGCCTGACTGCCATCTATTCAGGCCAGGAATCTCCTTGGGCACCACTGATCACGAAACCTTCTTCTTAGCTCAACAATGTGTAAACAGCCCTTCCTGCACACCAAACATGCTTTGCTATTCTGGTAGGAACGAGAATCTATCCATTGGGGCATCAGTGTTCTGAGGATGTGGAGATGTAAAGAATACTACAGACTCCTTCCCTCAAAACTGATCAATTCAGTCAGGAGAATCCCAGAGGCAAAGGCAAAATTGGGCCACCCAAGAATTGCTGCTAAAGATATTTCAAAATTATCCTTACAAGGGACATTTAAAAACCTCACTTCACTTTCATCTATTTTGTCCTGAGTTAGAAAATAGAGTAAGATTGGATAGAGCAAGGGTTCCTCTTTTATTGACACTAATTTAGTATCTTTGTGCCTGTGTTTGGTAAGATATGAAGTAAAGCATCTTCTTAATATTGGCAAATAATTTTAGATAAAAGCTAGCTTTTTAAATACATATATACACATACATACATACATACATACATACATACATACATACATAGTGCTCCAGGCTATTTTTAACCTTTCAGTAGTTGAATATTTGTGATTTACTGACTAAGAAAATACTACCTGTATCCCACGACTATGGGCCTTAGTCTAAGAGTTTTCCTTTGTTCATTTGTCTTGAGTGTAAATCTACAGGTGAGAATTCAATCATTACACAGGAATGTATTTACCAAATGCAGACTTATTTCCCCAAGCTTGCTGAAAATGCTTTTCTTAATATGTTATTGATTATCTCCCTTGCTATTTTGTTTGCTTGTAAACACTCTAGCTTTGGGAGATAATAAATGTGAGAGGAAGGCAGGGAGTAAAATATTTAGGAACTGGATTTATTCTGCTCCTGAATACACAATAATTGGATAATCCATGTTTTGTTTGTTTCACTTATCTAATGCAAACACCCCAAATTCCCCCAATTCCCATAGGTATTTTAGCATCAAGAATGAAAATGACCTTGATACAAGCAATGGACCCTCCAAACTATAAACCTCATGCTGTCACCTCCGTGAACGTCCCTGTATCTACCTTATCTGTACAAAAACCATGCCAATAGAAGAGACATTCGGTGCAGAGATGTCTCGGTAAGCTAGAGAAAAATGTTTTAAAATATGGATGCTGGTGACATAGCAAATAGCTTTGGATTTCCAACAGTAAAACAGCAAAGTCTTTTTCAGGGAAATGGTAGAAACAAGGAAAATGGCCTGGGACTATTTTCACTCCAACTTTTAAATAAAAGTAAAGGGCATGGACTTTCACTTGGCAGATGGAATGTAAACATCTCAGATATCTAAGTCACATTTTTTGCAAGATGGCAAGATTTTCCTGGTTGTTTTCTAAGTTTTGAGATATTTGCCCAACACAGCCCCACCAAGCAAACATAACAAGGGTGGGGGGGTTCCCAACACTGTACTAGGAGACAAAATATCAAGTGAGAGTAACTAGAACACACTTTATGCATGGGAGAAAATGCCAAAGAATGAATTTAATAATAAAAAATAAGGATTAGTAGGAGTTGTAAAGATGACTCAGAGGTTAAGAGCACTTACTGCTCTTGCAGAAGACCTGGGTTCGGTTCCTAGAACCCATGACAGGAAGCTGCTAACCACCTACAATGGCAGCTCTAGGGGCCCAATGCCTTCTCTGGCCTCTACAGGTGCTTGGACTGGACTTACATGCACATACATATAAATACATATATACTAATATTTTAAAAGTAAATTAAATGAAGAGCAGCTGAAAATGTTGCTCATTAATTTTCTGGCCTGTTTTTGTATTATTTAGGGGACTTGTGTCAAATATCATTGTGAGAAAAGATTACAGAAGGAAAAGCTTGTGATCACACAGACTAAAGTTGGTGGTAGGGGAGCTCATTCCTAACTCATGTGGAGGGCATCCTTAGTCGATCCAACAACAGGGAAGCTTTTGAGAACGTTTCATGTTTACCTGTAGTAGGTAGCCGTTCCAGCTTTGACCTGGAAATACCACCCCCTTTGAGGCTTCGGTAACTGTCACACCTACAAGGCAGAGCCGAGAGAGGATGCCTGAAGACCCGAGATCTAGATGGGTGAGCTCTCTTGGTTCCTGGATCCTGGACGCTGGATGTAGACTGAGCAGAGTTCTCCAGAGAACACCACTGGACTGCATGACACCTTTCCCAGACCTTGTAACCTATCCTTTCACTTGTAAGTTACCCCACAAAATAAACCTCCCTTTTAACTATGTGGAGTTGCCTTAACATTTAAACCAATATTTACCTACTTCCTAACAAACTTGAAGGTGGAAACACCACACAGTGAAGACCAAAGGCTGTACTGTTTGAGAGGTGGAAGGCTATTCATATGTCCAACTCCGTTATTGAACATATTCCATTAATCACACAAACATTTATTGAGAAAGTACAAGATAAGCAAGACAGTCCTAAGCCTCCAAAAAGCTACTTTCATAGTAAAAAAAATTATTTTATAATAGGAACACTTTGTACGAACAAAGCATAAGGAACACTCGAGCAAGATTTCAAACATAATTATTTCTATTACTACCACCTGTGCCTACAAATGCACTCTGAACTTCCTCTAGATTCCAAAGCCTAGGACCGAAAAGATCAGCTAGTGTATGAGAAATAAATGAATGAATAATTACTCAAATATAATTGATATTTATCAATGTGTAACTATATTGTATATTATATCATATATAACTATTATATGTAATGGATATTGTGTATATGATTGATATATGTTCACATATATTGTCCTCCAATACAAACATTTCCACCCTTTCATTTTCATGGTCAACTCTATTCATAACAGATGGGAAAAGAACATTCAGATTGTGAAGCCGGAAGAGGAGAGACTAACACAGCGGTTGGTCTTCAACTGGAGGGACCCTGCAGTTGCACAGCTCTATTGGTAGCTCGATTTCTAGGCGAGACCTCAGATTACAATAATCTTCAAATCCAGTTTTACAGGGACCTAGGCCAGCTGAAAACCCACACCCCTGATGGTGCTACTCACATTGCGCCTTCTCCCTCAGGCTTCAACCAGACTGCTAAGGTAAATTCTGCTGCCAGCCTCGGAGCTTGTCGAGAAGAACAGTTCTTGTGACTTCTGAATACGAAGCTTGTGGAGTTGCTTCTGGAGTAGGGATGGAGATCAGTGTGGTCTGCTGGGAGGCAGCTCTGGAGGCCTTCTAGGAGGGCAGTGTAGGTAGGAGAAGCAGAGCGGTGGGGACAGTCCTGGACACACAGCCTCTGGGTGCACCCCTGCACACTTTTAGCATCTTCTGCACTATGACAGAAAGTGCTGGGGCCTGAGAATCCACATGTGGCATGGGTTGGCACAATGGATATCTTCTTGAAAGTGCCCACGTTCTCCAGCCTTGGGAAGAGGCCCTGTGAGGCAGCCAACGATACTGAGGCCAAATAGGCAAAGATCAGTGTTTCCATGGTCTGATGCAAGGGGCCCAGTGAGAGAGCCAGGTAATGCATGGCTGCAAAAAAAGTATTCGTCAGCTGCTGAAGCATTCCGAAATTAATAACCAGGCCTGTTCTGCTCACCAGGAACACTTCAGATGCTGACCATCTCAATACTGGGATTCTCCATCTCTGGGACACAGGGAGAGCAGAGAAAGGGTATCCTTAGGGAGGGCAGAGCCATGAGATGAAGCTGGTGTCTGGTGAACAAATACACAAGAAGTCAGGAGAAACCAGAGTTCATCCTAAGCACAAGGACTTCGAGCTTTCTACAAAAATAGTGGTGCACTTCTCAAAGTCCATTCTGAACTACATAACTTAGAGTCAAAAACAAATTCTCCAGATAAAGATCTTGACATTATAGGACAAATAACACTCATCAATGTACAACGCAATCAGTCTATGAATTTATATATGATGATGAATTGTAGGCTTATAGCTAGTTTACACTGCTACTGGACCCCAGGGAATTGGCACTACCTGCTCTAATTAATGCGGTAAAGCATCCTAGAGCTCTTCTTACGAACACCATATGTTGTGACCAGAGCTAACTTGCATATGCCCAAAGTGAAGCTAGCTAAGCACCCTGGGCCTTTCCCCTCATCCCAGCCTGTGCAGCCACTTTAAGCTCACAGTAAAGCTGATTAGAAACCCAATACCATCTGCTTGCCCTGTGCCTTAATATTTATCAAGCATTTGTGTTAATGTTTCCACATATGACTCTGTATTTGGAGGTTAAATATGGATTCCTAATACAGTGTAAGTAATTGTATTGATAAATAAGCCGAGTTACCATTTCTTTATTGCATTTCAACTGGTCCTCTCAGTGTGAGAAATAGCTCCTCGACAGGACCTCTGTCCCATGTTGCCTGGCAACCCTTGCTGTAACCCCCTCCTCATTACTTCTGGAAAATAGTCCCAAGCAACAGGAAGGCCATGAGGAAGACTTGGCACTCAGGTAAAATATTCCCCACAGCTCAAAAGGTTACCTGTAACTCAGTGCTGATGGCTTGGTGGCCCCTCTGGAACTGAGCTGTCCCAGCTCTCAGCTGGTACCTTAGTCAGTGGGAGGGAATAAAGTCGGGCTATGCATGCTTAATTTTTAAAGTAGCAGTACACCTTATCCTGCGATCACCTGCCAGACCCCTTCTGTTCTTGCTTTTATGAACCTCACTCCACGTCATGCTTTAATCAAAAGGATCTGACACTCTAAGACAGAAACTGTATGGGTAATTCTGAATGCTCTCTCTTTGGGAGGAAGGATCCAAAATGAGGCTCCAGACTCGAGTTGATGCCCTTAAAAGCAGGCCAACTGATGGAAGGTTCTCTACTTATTTGTTGACCTTTGTCATCTCAGGACATCCTGTTCTAAATATACTTAATTCCTTTAGGCGAGAGGCATGTTGTGTTTCTAAACACTGGGTTTGTAAAACACAGATTCTAAATGAACCAGAGAAGCAGTGCAGCTACTGAATTTTAGTTAACTAATTGCCAACTGATACACAGGTGTTTGTATGCACATGTCAGCAGTCATTTCTGTATACTTCTTAGTACATTCAAAGCTGTCTTTTCTGTCCTCTGGATTATACTATTCTCTATTAAGAAATATTCTAATAATTCAACAGTCTTTGCAACCCGAGAGTCACATCTTAAAAAAATGTAAGATGGTCTGGAAAGTAAAGAGTCAGCTCTAACTTGGTTCCCTATAAAATTTTATTGTTATAGAAATCTTTAGAAACAGGAGATGTTTTTAAGGTGTTCTCCTTAAAAGTCAATGAGAGAAAAACACAAATTATCTTCTTCCCAACTGCCTTTCATTTTTCTCCCACAAGAACACTTTAGCATTACACTACTTGACCTTTGGTCAAAATGCCCCATTCTTGGCTTACTGATTGCTTTATTTAGATGGAAAATTTTAAATTAAGAGCAAATGCTAGTGTAAAGACAGCTAATTTACAAGACTTATGCAAGTTTTGGAAAATAAGTCTTAAAAATAACCCGGGACACACACAGTGCAATAAACACACATATTACTGAGATCTGCATTAGAGCACGCAATCAGCTTGTTTCCAAACAGACTCTGTGGGTGAAGGCTCTTGTCCCAAAGCTGATGACCTGGTTTTGATCCTTAGAGAACAGATCATAAAAAGGAAAGAAGAGACTCCTCCTGGAAGTTGTTCTCTGACTTACACACACACACACACACACACACACACACACATACACACACACACACACACAGTGGCATGCATAGGTATACACACAAATAAATATAAAAATGAATAAAACAGTAACATTAAATATAAAATTAGATAAGATAAGGCACATTGGTGATTAAGGAAGCTATTCCTACATTAGTCTCTGGCTTCCATACCCACCATGCAAGCCCAAGCAAGTATACCTACCTACATGCACATATACCATATGTGAGCATGCATGAGTGAGCGCACACATGCATGCACACTGATAGTAGGGTATCGGCAGCAGCACTGATCCACAGGGAGGTGCTCTGCTTGTCAATTGTAAAGGCAGACGATGTAGTGACATATTCATTGTCTCAGTTTTACAGTAATGTGTAATCATTCCCGTGTTATCTCCCAAGTGAATTACACACCAACAGTTTTACCTCCCTGTAAGTCCCTTAGAAATACATATGGAGAAAAGGAGAAAGAAGACAGTTAAGGTGCAAGGGGAAGTTCTGGCAGATATGAGTAGCCTTGGACTGGCTTTCTGTCTGTTTCTGGCTCATTCTGGTCTGAACCAAAGTGACTGCACAAGCCAGCAGATACTGTGATGCCAGACAGACAGTTACTGGAGCCTACTCTTGGCTCATTCTAATAGAGGTAGAAAAATTCTCATTAATGTAATGTACAGGTCCTTTCCTAGCCTCTGCCTGTGTCTTACCTACCAATCTTCTATTGGCCAGAACAGGCACATGGCCCGTGGGCATATTCAAAGGACTAGTAAAGGAACTCCTCAAGGTGGGGATGGCAAGTCACCTCTCAGAAAGCACACATAGCAGGAATGGGGAAAATGTGTGACCACTTATAGACTAGTTCACCACTGATTTTCTTGATGTAAAGACATCTCATGATGGTTCATAATTCCTTTGTGTTGACAAAGTAGTAAAACCTGTGGCTCAATTAGACAACTCTAAATTCCCCTACTATTTAGGAAAAGCTCATGACAGATAATATGACCGGAAGGAGCTTAGATTTCAGGTGTCACAGGGTCAGCTCTTGCTCATGGCTAACATTAAGTGATATTCCTCTAGATTTGGTGTAAAGCATAGATTTATTATTAAAACTTAAATCATGTATAATAACATATTAATTACAAAACCAGGAGCATAAACTATAGATGCAGTGTGATTACACATAAGAAATTATTAATGAGTCTACAACAACTAATTTGAATTCTTAGGCAAGTTGAGCAAATTGCTAACACCATCAAATCAAGCTGATCCAAGAAGAGACATAGCAACAAGGCAGATTGCATCAGCTGTAGAATTCATCAGTAAATTGAGTACTCCTGCAATGCTGTAACCCAACTGTCCAAAACTGGACCATTGTGCCAATCAGCACCATGCATTCATGTCACAGACATGGTGCTGAGGGGATGAAGACCAGGAGCACACCCCAGAGATGATGGATGTGCTCCATGATTGCATTTACATTAAGTTTAAACACATGCCAAATGAATCTATGAAGGTAGAAATTAAAAGGATTTTCTTTAAGATAGAAAACCAACTGAGAAAGTGCTTAAGAAAGACAGCAAGAGAGAACAAAGATACAAAGGAAAGTGAAGAGAGAAGAAGAAGAAAGCCCACAAGAGTGTTAAGAATATTCTGGGCTTCAGTTTGGGGCAACTGCACTGTACTTGTTTTTTTTTTTT